AGGATGCAGGAGCGTACCTAGAAGATCTAGGGCCAGAGCTGCTGCACGTGAGCCCGGTCCCCAAATAGTCCTGATCGTGTGGTTAGTTGTTTGGATCATTTACAACATTTGCATTGTTTTCAGTTCATTTTTCTACCAAGAGCTGTGCAATTTAGCTCAAACGAATAGATGATGTTCAGCTGCAGCACAAGGAGCTGTTGTTAATTACAGTAAGAAAAACAAATGACTAGTATGTACGTTAAATTTAGGCCCACGCAGGCAGGCTTATAATGCAAACAGGCTCCAGTGATAACTCTGAACTACGGCCCATGTTCTCTAGCATTCTTGTAGTTCGACAACTTGCGAAGGACTAAAACAAACCATGAACTACTCACTGACAAAGGTTTATTTTTATGCTCTGCAACCGACGCTGTTGCTACAAAAGTATATTCTGCTGCATCTGTTTGCTAAAAACAAAATGGGTTTGCAGACTTTGTGAGGGCGTCCTGAGCTGTAAACAGCTGGGAGGGCTGGTGGGCGGGGCAGCGTGGACAGCGTGGTTAATGCGACTCAAGAACAAGACGATGAAGGACTTTGAAATTCAGACCACAGATGCATCTGAGAAAAGTAGTAGTATTTCAGTGTTGTCACCATATGTGTGGTGATTCACTGACATGTTGTGACACTGGGACACTGGGACACTGGGATACTGGGACACTGGGACACTGGGACACTGGGACATTGGGACACTGGGACACTGGGACACTGGGAGACTGGGACACTGGGACACTGGGACACTGGGAGGCAGGTTCAGTTTGATGGTGTTTCACATGTAATTTGACTTTCCTCGTCGTGGTCTCCCTGAGAGGTTTCAGCTAACGCCCAGCGCTGTCCTCATCATCTCATACACATGTTATCCTTTCTTATGTTGCTGTGAATCCTCTGGATCTTTACATAGTTACTCATTAAAATAACTCTGTTAGACTCTTGCTGTTAGCTCAAACAAACAGCTTGAGTCTAAAGCTGCCCTCTGCCCTTTCAGTTAGTAAACTGTGGAAATCTCTGAGAGCAGAACAGATTATGGAGATTATGATCTTTGATGTTGTTCCAGTAACCTTACTGTCCTTAGCTTTGCTTCTTTTTTCTTTTGCACAACTAAATTAGATTATTCACGTCTCATGTGCTTTCACACCAAAGGATACCAGGGGACAGGTGATGTGTGGTAGAGCTCCTGTCATTCTGCACTGATGCCTTTGATAATGCCAGAGTGTCAGATCTGGAAGAATATTCAAGAGTAAATGATGTGATAGTGACAGGACTGGAAACCAAGCATCAGACATATGCA